CGCAACTAATTCACGCAACGATAACCAATCGAAGATATCATCCATACATTGTACAACAATCGAAAGAAATTTATTCTCCAAATTCACCGTCGATTCGTCGTGTATATTGTCATCATTCATATTGGCACTTTAAAATTTGGCATCTATTTGTTTACTTCGAGTGTGGTTTTGTGTTGAATTGCAATCAGCTCACCATCAGAATCGCTTTTGGAGTGTGCACAATAAAAAATAGATAAAAAATAATCTTTGGCCACTTTGAGTTTATAATTTTTCAATAAATAATTAGAAAATATATATAAAGGAAATAAATTCGCGTACGTCGCAAAACAAAACACCGGCAACAAATCTAACATTGACACACACAAAATAACGATAAATATGCGTGAAGTTGGCTATTTGTGCATTTTGACAGTCAATGACGTGCCGCGATTTTCGGTTTGCAATTTTTTTTTCTTTTGTCACTGTATCATGTAATTTAAAATTTTAACTCAATTTGAAATGAAGAGAATGGATACTTCTTTTGATGGTTGAAAAAAAGTGATTGGTAAAATGTGCACAGTTTTTACACATAAAAATTGATCAAATTGATTATGGATTCGATTAAATTTTAACCTTGAGTTGAGTGATTTATTGTTTTATCACCGCGCGCGATTTGACTAATTGATTTTCCTAGTTCAAATCGTCTCATTTCGAATGATAAGACGATGCCATTGTTACGGCGAATGAAGTGTCAACAAACATTAACATTTCAAAAATCACCGTCTCACTTTACCTGAATATTCTGCGCACCGTTTTTTTCTTTGCTCCGGTCATTTTATGTGTTCATCATATACAAAAATATGCGATTGTTGTCTATTTTTGGGCATACCACCGAAAACTTGTTCTATTCTCTTAATTGAATTCGTTGCCAATATTTTATATTTATCAATAAACGAATATTATGATTGTCTTTCTGAAGCAAAAAAACGTTATTGGCTATTTTGATATACTGTTCATAAGAATGTTACAAATTCTGTGATTCAATGCTGAAGTCCATTTCAAATGATGTGATTAAAACGAGTTGATTCTGTCTGGAGAGAAAACAATGATGAAACTAAATGTAAAAAAAAAATCTAAATAGACTCATTGACTTTCGCGGTGTATAGCTGCACGATTTCTGTGAAAGTGTCGTTTCAAATGCTTTGCGTCTTTATTTTAGCATTCCTACGTTTTTAAGCTGTAATACATTTCCAATTTTAAGGTTCTAACCGTACAGCTGGCCACCGCATTTGGTAATTCGAGTTTTGCAGCGCACAGGTGAATCTGGCGCTAGATGCAAGAATGGCGCTAGAAAAAAAAAGTTCATCATATCTATCGTCAGTAATGCTAAATGGAATCGTTTATTTCTCTATTCCTATTTAATTAGAACGCAAATCAATCGTTTTATTTGAGAGAAGAAAAAAAAAGAAAGCACAAAATCATAGGCATGTGCACGAGTGCACATTGAACGTGGCAAACGGTAAAATTAATATTATGAAGCGCATTCAATTCCAAATAAGTGACGAATTGAATAAGTGATTAATGAGATTGATTGGCGCTCCATCAGGTACATTTTCTCGTGATCGTGTCCATACTGTTTGACAGCCATTTAAGCATATCTGGTTTGACACAAGTTCTGGTTCTCGGCACATGGACGGCTTATTGTGTCTGCCAGCGACGACAGCGACATACGCAAAAAATAAAACGGAAACCTTTTACGAATCATTCAAAAATGTTGCACGTGAATGCAATTCATTTCTCTGTTCGGGAAAGTAACATTTGATTTGCCGATCGGATGATGATTAATAGACGTTGTTCATGGCGCGTGTATGTCATCGATATATTCCATTCCACTTGATGGTATGAAAAAGCGAGAGATCGAAATGGAGGAGTCTACCTCGCACCAAATTTAGTGATTCAGTCGTGATTGCTCCTTAAATCGATTAAATGTTTCGCTTCTGGAATGCCTTTTTTGTTATTCCGCTCACGATATATTTTTTTCTCGTTTTTTTTCTTCTTGTTGTTGTTCTCTGTGTCGCTTTCCTCTTCGCCACTGTTTCTTGCACACTTATTTTGTATTTGAAATACACGCAAGTGAAGAATAAAATCAATAAATGTGAAATGAAAATGATGAAATGTTGATAGTTGAACTTGACTAGTGTAGTTATTTGAAAAGTTGATATAGTGTGTACAAGTTACAATCAAGATTGTGCCATCGACGCGTAATTGTTAATTAAAACCAAACGGATGACAGATAAATAATTCCGCTACTATCTTCCCTCCCTCCCTCTCTCTCTTTTCTCTTCCTCTATATCTCTCTGTCTTCTTCACTTCTTTCCTCCTTCGCTACATCAGTGCTTTTGTGCGTGGACAACAATCAATCGAACGCTAGTTTATTTCGTTTTTTTTTTCAGCTTTTTCGATGCGAATTAAACACCATCATCGTTATGTATCGCATGTATAGACGATACGTGATCTATGATGAATGCCAAAGTGACATGAACCTTTTCATGAAGTGCGTCCATATTGACTGTGCGAACTGTTCCTTGTCTCTATTTCGTTTATCATTCATTTTACGTATGGTACGTGCCAAACATTCAGAACAATACTGGATACGATTTGTAGTCTATTTCGTTTCTTTTTGCTGCATATTTATTCGATTATAGTTTGTGGGATTTGATCCAATAATTGTTAATATCTGATAAAAATCAATTAAATTTCTAAGTACTAGCAGCTAATAAACTGGCCAGCATAAAGATGAAGACTTTCATGCTTTTGAACATTCACTGGAAAATTAAATTGTTTTGGCACCAAATTGTTCTAACGACTCAAATAATTTGCTTCAACACATGAAATGAACAGGCGGTGTTCATATGCTTCATCGAATCAGTTGAGAAAGGAAATTGGACGAAAAATGATGAAACAAAATCTACACACACAAAAAAAGGGCACATTGTATTGGATGCATTCCAATTGTAACAATCAAATGAAAAAGTTTCACAACCAAATGCGATATGGCATCACGAATTTTATTTGTTTGAATGCGCTCGACCCGATTTGACTTTATTCCAATCCAAAACATAAAATTTGAGGCGCAAAAAAATGTGCAGCCCACAAAAACGACGTGGCCCGGAATGACAATTTTTCACAAGCTTTTGATTCAACAATGCGGGTCAAAGGTTGAATTAATGCACACACTTTCGGTTTTTATATTTTTTTGCAATAATGCAAGATGTGCGCGTTTTTTTCTGGATCCTTGTGTTTTAAAATAGGTTGAAAATGTTGAATGTTAAATGAAATGGAGTATATTTTACTCAAGGACATAACATCTGTGGCACAGACTGCTGTTAGATGCTTTTGAAACTATAAAGAGAGTAAAGAATTCCTATCCCTCGCCAAATGCGTCCAACTTCAAAATAATATATACATTTAGTTGCACTTGACATTCGGGCGCTTCCGATGAGATTTATTGTTATAATTTTTTATACTTTGATTGCATCAATTTTGTTTTAGGCAAAATGCCGACGATTTTTTTTCTCTCTCTCTTATTTCAATGAACTTTTTGCGCTTCAAACTACTTTTTCGACTACAAACTTTTCCCATTTGATAACTATTTCATGAATCGAAAACGCATATTATTCCATTTGTTGGACCAGAGTGCAATGTTTTTTTGCTCCAAAATATTCTTGTTGCTTTTTCTTAATTGTTCTTCTTTCCATATAAATATCGACATCAATTTTCGTTCAACTTAAAAGTTCTTTCTCATTCTGGACCATTAAGAGTGATCCCATTTCATAAATGCTAAGTTTTCAGCACGCAATGTATAACCGAATCAGAAAATAATATTGACCAATTTCTGATTCGAAAGAGGTTCAGTAATTTGGAGTTGCTTTTTCTTTTCAAAGATGGGTGGTTTTTCCTCCCGTTACTTTATAGAAGCTGAATTAAAGGCGTACACAACAATGAAACCAGGTGCGCCATTTGACAAGCAGTAGAAACGCATCATATTTCATAGCAAATTAGTGATTTGATGTAACAAATCATCAAAAGCAGAAAATTGTTTGTGAGAAACAAAAAAAAAACTGATGCATTTCAATAGATTTTGCGGTGAACAATGGACTGTTCATATCGGAACAATGGTATACTAAGTGGGAGATTTGTGAAAAGTGTAAACGGCACCAACGGTATGTGTTGTCCATCCAAAATGATGTCAATTGTTGTAATATGGTCACTGGTCATTGGCAATAGTGACAAATCGCAAAAAAAAAAACATCCACAGAACTGAAGTACGGCGAAATATTGCCATGAATATCAAAAAACGAAACCTGCAACAACAAATTGTAAGCGCTTATTTCAATATTCGGATACTAACACATGCCGCCTACAATTATCCACTAAACTGCATTGCAAGCAATTGAACACGAATTTCAAATAAATCTTCAAATCCATTGAATCTACTCGACAGATCTGTACACACTTCTAGCGCAGAAAGAAAAAACTCTGGCGAATCTAATTATTGTTAACAATCATAAGTTTTTCCCTTTCCATTTTCGATACAGAACACTTCTGGAACATAGTAAAATACTCACCATGGCATTTTATATAATATTCACACACATACAATGTGCATCAGTTTTTTGTTTGCTTCTTTCAAATATCATTTATGTTTTAGTTGCCGTGTGTAATATTGTACGCTTTTAATCTCGTTCGCATCGAATGCATCGACAGTATGCATTGTGTTAATGAATAGGAATCGAAAACTTCGTGTGTTCCCGTTACGATTTATCGTTTCTTGTAGCTGCATTGTTCTTTGAGCATCAAACGGCATTGTTTTGCATTTATGCATATCAAAATAACAATAACAACAATACGCACCAAATGCAATAAAAAAACAACAACGAAAAATTCAAACTATACAGATGCGCACATAGGTAATAGGCTATACTTTATTTGTTTGATTCAACAACAACAAAAAAAAAAAATAGGAAAAGAAAATTATGTTTAATACACCAAACGCCTTTTACAAACGAATTCAAATTCCCTGTGTTCTCTATTCAAATATACGTACGATTCTTACAACGTATGGGCATAAATTTGTGTTTATTTTTTTTTATTTTTTTAACTTTTCAAAAGGCGACACTGTTTCGTTTGAGATTGTGTTTTTTTGAGGCCACACGAATTTCGTTAACAGCATTTTCTAATATTCGTTGAGCATCGAATTGATTCGAAATCACAGCTCGATCGGCAATCAAACCAAGTTGCAATTTATAACCATATGATAAAATTGAAATGCCGATACCAGTGGAACCGCGGTGTGGCAACCAAAAGGTCATGTTACTTATTCGATAACCACTTATGTATGTTATCGTTTGCGGCCCTGGTAAATTACTCACTGCAATCGTACTGTGAACGCTCTCTGTCAGGCTGGTCAACATCGATTCGGGCAACAACGCCGTTAGAAATGACATTATCCAATAGTTTACCTACAATATACACTAATTATAACAACACTGAAATAACAGAGAAAAAAAAACATTCGTATTTAAATTTACATAATAATCGGGAGAATTTCGCAATAGATCCGAGTATTTCTTAACTTCCATCAGTTTGACGTGGAATTGAGATGCTTGATTTTTTGGGTATCGTTTTCCTCGAATCGGTAACGTTTGCAGTCCAACCGAAAATTTATTTTGAAGCTTAAGCTGTGCACCTTTATTTTGAAGAAGAGACAGAAATGAACAGTGAAATTCTAATTGTATAAAATGACATTGCTTTTCATCATTCACAGTGATCACGTGTTAAAATTTTATTGGCCATCTACCTTCAGCTTCAATTCGTGCTGGTAATACAGCTGTCATTGTGTTTGGTATATGGTTTCCTTTTGATTCGAAATAATTTTGGAAGCTAATCGATAAAGCCGAGAGCAAAACGTCGGAAAATCGAACGCCTTGAAAATTCCGTTTGATTGATTTCATAGTGTCGAGAAGATTAAGATCATCGTCAGTTTCAAAGCGCCAGCAAACAATCTAACCCCAAAACAGAGATGTACAATGCACATTAATCAATCGATTTAAATTTAAGAAAAACGAAAAAAAAATAATTCAAAGTACTTTTTCGCCCGTCAATTTATGTTGATGCAATGCATTTTTGTCGATCTTCTTAAAGAATCCTTGATGAATAATTGAAGCGGGTGACATGAAAATTATCGTACATTTCTTGCCAAACTCCAGCATATTCAATTTAATGCGATTCCATAAACGTTGAATTTCTCTGGCATTCATGGCAAGCAACGATTTTATGTAAAATTTCTGCTCAAATTCGGGCGGATTGAATTCATTCTCAAAATATGTTTTCAACTTTTGTCTGGCTCTTACGCAATTTGCCCATAGATGCTTTTTCGATTGTTCACGATCAGCAATGGTTTCCAAAAATAAACGAAGCAATGCAACACCATCGCCTAAAGAATGATGTATTCTGAAAAGCACCTGAAAATAACGAAAGAGTATCTGAAAATAATATATGCCACCAAAATATTTATGATGCTGGTGCTGATTTAAATAATGCATAGAACGGAATGGTATTGCAAGCGAGGATATGATTTAATTGAAAATTACCGGAATGTGTGCAGTTAGATTGCCTTCGTTGTTGTAATCGGTAATTTGGCGTTTTGAAACAAGAATTTCCCATGTTGCCGAATGATTATTCATTAATGGCATATTGCAGAGTACACCGAATGCCGTTTCAATATATTTCCTGTTATTGGTTTGCTTTTCAGCTTCGGGTATATTTGGCATAAATCTAAATGTAAATGTGCATGTAAACAAAAATTTGTATTCTCATACATTTTCATATGATACATATTTGGTATGTGAATATTTTCGTAATAAATCGGTACAAATTGCGTACATATATACATTTTTGTTGTGCATAAATCAATCCGAAAATTCAACACCCCGTCCTACTTTTAACATATTTCGCATGAATATAAAACCACTTACCGAATATAATCCTCGATTGTGCATTCGTTTTCATTGGTCCAAAATGAGTAGCCATGCTCTTTGCATCGTTTATAAAATAGCTTTGGAAATGGTTTGTAATCGCCGAGAAAGCGTAATGAAAGCCTTTTTCGTAATGCCAATAGAATGTTACCGGCATCACAATCAATGTCAAACAATGTCGTTGGTGTTTTGTTTTGTACATGTTTCTCACAATCGATTTCCACCATTCCCATTATATTTATAACGCTCTTTGCAAAATCATCTTCAAGCGCCCAAACAGCATCGGAACCATCCAAAAATCCACGAAATTTATCGCCATATTTTCTCTAAAAATTAACAAACAAAAAGAAAAATAGAACCAAAGCCACACATGAAATTCGCTCGTAAGCTGCTTTGTAACGACAGGAAAACAGGCAGATACACACAAGTATACAAGCAAAATGCACACTCACTTTGATCATATAATGAATATATTGGCGATAGCACAGCATGCATAGCCACAGTGTCAATAGCAATGGTAACAGCACAATAAATATTAAGAAACAACTGGTGGTGAATGCAATGTTTGAATAATCGCAATTTTTCCAATGCAGTAATTTTAATAATGCCATCAAATCCTTGAATAAGTATGCTAACGAATCTTCTTTGGTGATGGATTTTGTCGCCCGACCAAAGAGCAACAGTATCATCACCAATAGTACTGCCATCGAAAATGCATATTGACCATTTGCCAACAATGTATTTTGAGTTATTGTCGCTGGAATGGACACTATTTCCGAAAATTGATTGGAATCACCAGCATAACACTGTTTCGCCAAAACCCATCGACATGGAAATATTTGACTAACGCTCCAATTTCGATACTGTACACTAAATGCATTCAATACAATTTGATAATTTTTCATGGTCAATTGATTCACACACGTATCCATTAGTGCACAGATGAGTGAAAAAATAACACTGCAGCAAATGTAAAATATTCCGATGAAAAATGTAGAGAAAACTACAACAATTTTTTTTATTTTCAACGAATTTTCTTTAATTATTTATTGTTATATTTGATTAAAGTCATAATCTATAAACTGTCGATGGTAAATGATCGTAATGATCGAAAATTAAGTGAACACAAGAAAAACCACTGTCAAATTTAATATCACTTGTATAACTGACAAAAATGAAGACAACCGTTTCGCGAACGAGCTACAAATGAAGTCATATGAAAGAAAACGTTCATAAAATTTTCATATTTCTTTTTTATTTTTCATAAAATGAACAATTTCTCGGGCATGTGAATAATAGCCTTGTAAAAGAAGCCCCATAATTTCGCTGTTGCTATTAAAATTGTATGTGTGTCTAGTGTATTGTGTTTCAGTTCATGCCAATCAATCAATTATATTAGCCATCAAGTAAATTGCGTATTTATGATCGAAATCATTTGATGCATCGCAATATTGAATTGGCTAAAGTATGAGATTATCCTGATTGTGAAAGTGATTCGACCTATTGAATGCTAAATGTGATTTTCGTTAAAAAGAAAATTTAAATCGCCCCCACATATTCGAATCCCCACGTGACTCGATTGAGGAAAAAGAAGATAAAAAAAACGTGAAGAAACCATTGTTTCTTTCACAGCAAGCTATTTCTCTTAAGTTGAATATTATGTAAAATGAATGGTTTCCAATTGAAAATTCACACCAAATGTAGTCATTTTTTGTGTTAATTTGTTCAAATCTATCACACTGGATATTATTATTTTTACCATGGTATTTATAGTAAATTGGTAACAAAACAATCGAAGCCATAAGCGTTGCCTTTGTTCTAGGAAATTAATGATTGGTCGCGATATGAGTGTAAGCAACAACAACAATCGTTTGCGCGATTTGTATTGTGAGTGTGAGTGTGCACACTTTTGCTCTGAACATAAACAAATAATTTCAATTGACTGTCCCATTCTACGAATAAGTATTTGGAATTAATTAGCAAATAAGCGTAAGCATGTATAAATACAATAGATTACGAAGGAAAAAAAACCATCACAGGAAAAACAAATCGACAAAGAAATAAAATGTTTGAATTTAAACCGCCGAAAAGAGAATGTGTTTCATGTCACTATAACGACCGTACATTTGATAAACAAACCGTTTCCATGGATATATGTATGATTCGGTGCAAATGAACAAAGCCGTACGTACATGAGAAACAAACAAATGTGGTCATTTTTTATGAAAACACTTGTTTGTTACAACGAAATAAAATCGATTAATTACCTGCGTTGAACTTGTTCTTTTTCTTTGTTGTGTCGTTTCTGTTTGTTTGAAAATAAAGCTAGAATTAGTAGAAAAATGTCATTGTTTAAAGTATGTACATGGTGGTCAGCACAGTGTCCGGACTTTCAATCGAATTACGATGCACAGCTATTGCATTGTTGTCGTTTTGGTGTCGAAGAAAATGAAAAGGATTACGTAATTGTTGCATCTCATTCGGGCTATGTCAGCATTTTCCAGCCAAATGCAACGATGACCGACGAAACTGAAGATGAAGAGCCCACCTCTGGTTTTAGGCCCACCGATCAATTGCTTGAAATTAAATTAACCGATCCCATCATACAGTTATCGTCTGGAAAATTTATTATGTAATAAATTGTTTAGTTTTTTGCATTTGACTTTTTATTTTAAATAAATTTTATTGTTCTTTTAGAGGTGCTGCAAATGAACGAAAACGACAATTAGCCATTTTACATTCGATGAAACTGTCCATTTATTCATTGCATTTGACAGAGGGGCTTGCTGAACACGGTTTGTAATCGCTGTAAATCGCTTTCCACACGAACATATTGTTTGAAATATTTTTTTTTCTATCTGGCAGGAGCTCAGTTTAAATTGAACCTTTGTTTTGAGCATAAACTCAATAAAGCTGCGTTTTCAATGTGTCATGGTCATTTTGGTGGTTATAAAAGTCGTGAATTCTTTTGTATCACCCACATGGATAGTACGCTAACATTTTATGAACAGGATGGGATTGCTTACGAAACCACTTTGACCGGTGAACGGCACATTCCATCGAAAATGGTTTTTAATTCACGAACTGATACTTTCCTTACGGTGTCTTCATACTGCGATTTGGAATGTTATCGATACCAAGATTTAGGCCAATCGGTGGACACACAAAGAAGTAGCCTACCGTTTCCGGTTTGGTCGGTTTGCATTGGCGAATTTTCGTTGGACCTTCAAATTCAACAAATTTCAGAGTAACTTGATCCGATATTTTATTTCTTCCACTTTTAACAATCAGTCAATTTCAATGGTCAATTTTTGAACACATTTATCCACTATATTTCCGTTACAGCAATGAAAATCTGATATTAGTTTTATGTGAGAATTTACTCTATGCCATATCGGATACGTCAAATATTAAATTTATCAAACGATTGGACTATGTACCTATGTGTTTTTGTTCATTTGTTGCTGGATGGTATTATGGTATGATTTGGGATTTTTTGTGATTTCGTTTTTTTTTTGACATTCAATTTTGATTTCCTTGTTCACAGAACCGGATGCTCGTTTGATAATAACTGTTGTGTCAGAAAGTGGAACAATCTTAATTTATAATACGTCTCAATTAATTTGGGCGGCACAATTGTCGTACGTTCCAATGGCAATTTGTCGAACGAATGTAAACGGTTTGCCTGGTGCAATCTGTACATTGAGCGAAACTGGTAAAATGGCTATATCCTATTTGGGTTCCGATCCGCAAATGTTTCAAGTGCCACCGTTAAATATGCAAAAACTTAATTTTGAAAAAACACAAACCGAACTGATCGAATTGGAAAAAGAAATTAAAGCTGGCATTGATTTTACGGATATGTCGTCGATCAATGCATCGGCCGAACGTGATTTGAATGTTGATTTTTCCATTGATTCAACTCTCGAACAATGTAAATACTCGACAAAAATGCCAAGCACCATTGTATCGCCTGATGATATGAAAATGGTGCGAGCCACCGTAAAACTACATGCACAAACCAATTTGGAGCAAATTCAAGTACAATTCTATTGTTCGGAACCGTTAACGGCCAACAAAGCAATACATTCATTTCAACAAATGAATGCAAATCAAAGCGAAATTATTGAAACGTGTTTTTATATGGAAAACAGTTGTGATATTGCCAGTAAATCGGTTGTAGCGGTCACATCTTTCATAAATAAACACACAATTCCACGTGTCATTGAAAAAACAATAGATTTACCATTGAAAATGTTCTTTAAAACGTGTATACCTCAAAAAGATTCCGCCATCAAATTGACGATTACAGTAAATCAGACTACCGTACCAACCATCGATCAATTATTTGCAAACGATTTTCCAATTGAGCCCACACACAATGCAATCGGATTCAAGTCAATTTACTCGGGAAAAATTGTTACCATTGTCGCTGCAAAGAATTCCAATCGATTTAGGTGAGATGATGACACACAAGAGAAAAAATAAGTTCATTTTTATAAAATGCAATTTTCTCGTAGGCTTCAATCGGACCATTTACCAACAATTGCACCGATTTTAGAATCGATTGTTGATCGAATTGAGAAATATACAACGCCAAAGATTCGAATTACGAACAGTTCGCCATTACCGGTAACCGCATTGATTACTCTTGTTGACATTCATTATAAATCCTATGAAAAAGTACAAATTGTGCGGGTGAGCATTTATTCAACCGACGAAAATTAATTTATTCATTTCACATTTAATTGACACACGTTCTTTTGTATTTTGTAGGAAAAATTGAAAAATTGTACAATACGAATGCGATTGCTGGAACGAAGGTATTTCACGAAATTGGATGACAAAAAAACCGGTTCAATCGACAGTATAGTGACATTCTTAAAAACAACACACCAAGAGCTAATGACCCACATTCAAACTTTAGAGAATGCTAAACAAAATTTATCAAAGTAAATTTGGATATATATATGTGTATTTTGCTCCTCCAAACTAATTGTGTGAATCTTTATTTTATTTATAATTTTTGGCGTTGTAAGGATCCAATGCGATTTGTCGTGTGGGTTGGCATGTGTAAATGGATTGATTAAATTAATTGATGTGCCACCAAAAGGTTGTGATACTTTACGTTCGGCGCTAATGAGTACTGTGACTGATTATCCACAGCAGGTGAAATCGATTTTTTTTTTTTCATTTTTGTAATCAAATGATTTAATGACGTGATTTTGTCGGAATAGAGTTGGGAAGAGATGACAGCGGCTGGCTTAAATATTTTGACTTATGTTGGTCCATTAAAAAAGAATAAAAATGGGGTTGCCGATGATGATCCAACACTTGATGTGGCACCATTTGACTTTGAACGATTTAAAAGACATTTAACTGGATTATTAGAACGCGTCTCACGTCAATCTGGTGATCAAAAGTCCAATAGCATTGACGAAACGCTTACTGAAGAAGACGACATTAATGAATTATCCGTCGATAATCCAAAAACAACCAACGAAGAAAGCGATTGGATTTTTGATGTAAAACAAACAATGGATATTTTACCACGACTTCAAAACAACATCGATTAAAATGGCACACAATCGAGTTTTTCAAAAGATTAATTTATCGCTTATAACATATTTTCTTGTAATTTGAATTATATTTTAGTTTTTTCTTTTATTGTTGGATTTATTTGAACGGAAATTATTGACAAAAAAAATTCATTTGGCAAATTTAACTTTAAACAATTGACAACTTTTATATGTGTTAAACATTGTTTGGAAAATAAAATGTTCACTTCAATCTCTTGCGCAAAGATGAAAGTGACTTTCAGACTTTTAATTCACTAATTCACTGAGCTTTTCTTGAATATTCTTAATGGTATCCTTGTCTTTGTTGACTGTTTCGATGAGACACGACATCGCCTTTTGTTGCATCGACAAGAACGCTTTCATTTCTTCAACCGAATCTGCAGAAAAAATTGGAATTTGAATGCTTGAGTCTTTCTCTTAAACAAGTTGTGACAAAAAAAAAACACAATTTTTCAGTACAAACCTGGTTCCAATGCATAATCGACTGGATTTGCTAAGTTCCATTGATTTCGTTGCATTCTCATTTGTGAGAGTAATTCGCTCAAAAGGCCTTTATATTGTGTTGGTGCCGATACTAATGCTTGCATATTTTCTAATTTACTGCGAAGTTTTTCCTCTTCTGGTGACAGTGCTACGCCAACTTTTCGTGTTATCTCTTGTTTCACAATAATCTGCATTAAAAAGTGACACAAAAGAAAAATTTAATGAATAAAATCAATTTATAAAAAGAAAAATGTTGATCGTACATCCAAAATGTTATGACTTAAATCGGCCAATTTGCGTTTGTGTGCTGATATTTTGGCCATTGCATCGATGTTTTTCTGTTTCATTTCTTCTAAATCTCTGCGAACTTTAGCTATATACAATGAATGCATTTCGGTTTCTTTTTCTTGGCATTTGATGCGTCGCTTTAGTTCGGCAAATCCAATAATTGGCACCGGTATGAATACCTTTAGATCCGGATTATCTTGTTTTGCCTGATTCCACATACGTGGATCGATTCCTTTTGGCGGTTTATCTAGATACTCTTTGAGTTGATCTTCATCGGGTGAAATGAGTGCAATCACCTCATCAATACCGGAATTGGTTAGTTGTGACTTTGTCATTGGTTGATTCAGGAAATTATTCACCTCAGTTGATGCGATGCGCTTTATTTCATTTGACACTTGTGATTTTTCTTGAACATAAATTACAACTTGACATTTATCATTCAGTAATGGTTCAATGCTATCGATATTGACTGTTATTGTTGGTTTATTGCCGAAAATTTGATGCAATTGTGCTTTGAATGCTTCTTGTTGTGTGCGCATATCATTTTCCGATTTTTTTACAATCATCGAAACCAAACCCATTTTATTGTCTTTGCCGGGAATTTTATTGTAGCCAATCGCTTTGAAGCGACACAAAAACTGTAACAATTTATTCAATTATTTAAAAAAAATCATAAATTTTTTTCGAAAATGAATGTGGTACGTACGTTTTGCGGTGTTATTTCAACCGGCGGTAAATTTTTCGCATAGAATGCTCTCCCGTTGCCCCACATGGCTTGCAAATAGTTCCATTTGGCAATGACTATGTCTCGTTCATCTCCGAATATATTAACATTATAAATTGATTCAGCAAACGCTTCGTCCGGATTCAATGGTGGTTGCGGTTGTCCCAATTGTTGTTGTTGACCCAATGTTGGCAGGGTTGATGTTTGACCGAATGTTCCAAATCCACCGCCCAATGGTGGCTTACCGAATGCTGTCGAATGGAAAGATATGTTATTTTTATTTCACTTAATTTTGGAAATATTTTAAACATTGAACATTTGTTCTAGTCAACCAATTATAATATCTAGAGGTTTAGTTCAATATTTTATTTTTAATTGCAAAGTATGCGATTGAATGTAATAAAAATCATTTTCCCAGTCGAAAAGTTACCAATTTTTATAGCTTTTACTCACTTGAACCAAAACCACCAAAACCGGTTGATGTCTGTGTGGTTGGTTGTCCGAACGAGGGTGTATTGAATGAAAATGATGGAGCTGCTGACGATGTGCCAAAACCTCCTAATGTACTTCCGAAAGCAGCACCAAATGCTGTTTGCGCTAAAAAAGTAAATGATTTCTGAGAAACTCAAAGAGAAATTCAAATAATTTATTTGCTGCCACTTACCAGACGTGGCTGGCGCCGTTTGTCCAAATCCTGTGAATGTAGTACCACCTAATCCGGTCGCTGCCGATGTGGTGGTTGTATTAAAACCACCAAATGCTGGAGCGGATGTTGTTGGTGCGCCAAAGCCTAAAAATAATCAATACGTATTTTTTACACTCACTGTTCATGTTTGAGGTAAACAAATAATTGACAACAACATATGATTCATCGATATATTTCACAACGGATAATTTCACAAATTGATGAAATAATGAATTTTGTTCACTAACTTGATCCACCGAATGGAGATTGTCCGAAGCTTGGTGCTGCCCCGAATCCAGTGGCTTGTGTTGCGGCTGGTGTTCCAAAGGCTGGCGGTGCCGATGTTGCCGGTGTATTGAATGATAAATTTCCGAACGCGGCTAATGCAATTTTGATAAATATACAATCGAATTTAAACATAACCAAAAACACTCGATATTACATTTGGAGGGAAATTTCTTTTTATTAAATATACATACGTTTTGCTGGCGTACTAGTGCCAATGGCACTTGTATTTCCAAAATTAAAACTCATTATTGATCTGTCTACTTCATACAATTTATCTATAAACGATTTCTGAATAATTTGTTGTCATTTAATCACACGCAATTGTTTCTGTGAAATCTACGCAATTCAAGCGTTTTACTGACAGTTCTCTAACAAAATAGTACAATAGAAATTGAACAGTGGCTTTTCTATAGCAACAGCGCCATCTGAAGAGACGATATGACACTCACTCATTTTGATTCATATCGATACATTTGTTTTTTGAATATTCATGTTTCTTTTCGTTTTAAATTACATGGAAAAATACAGGGAATTTTTAAATTGATCACTTTGTAATTTTATTGATGAAATTCAAGTAAAAGAACACTAACTGTTGCCATATGGCAATACGAGCACATCATTTTAAAAATATTTACTCGTTTTATCGATATAATCTCACCCCTTCGCCTCCTACCGATGAAATAAAACATAACATTTTTAATTGGTTTAGAAATTCTTATTCTTTACATGTACATTTATTTCAGCCTTAAATTAATTTTAACATTTTCATTTCTATAAGCATAATCGATTTACGTCTGCCGTTTCGTGGATTGAATTTATCGGTTATTTGCTTAAAATGTCAAAGCCATTTTCACTTTTGGATGATTATCGTTGGCTCGTATCTCGTGGTCGATATGGAATACCCCTGTTTTTCATATCTCTAACAATGGTTTTGGGTAAACGGCCTGACACCGAAATTGCATAAATTCCTTTCGTAAACCGATCTAAAATTGGAAACGAAATTGTTTTTGTTAGAAAATGTCATGTGACCAAGACAAAAGATGTTTTTTTAAACAAATGCCGAACAAATTAATTTCATGCGAAAAATGAAATACTTACTTATACGTTGCCATTTGCAAACCCAGCTGTCTTCGGGACTCATCACCGCAATTAAACCATCAAAATTGTTGCTGGTACAGTCATAGACATTGTCTTTGTTGTTTTTCATGCGCAAAAATTCTTCGCAATTATCGCAACCATCCATTTCAAATTGGTCGAATGACTAAAAGAGCCGATACAATATGTAAATTGATTAAAATTTGAGATGAACATAGAGAAATAAGACATTCAACACAATTAATTTCGAACATACCTTGACCAATGAGCACACCAAACACGCACGAAGACCTCGCAAATCTTTTGGAATTGTATCGAACGACATTTTATTTAATTTATTGTTAAGTTAACAAATAAAAGTCGATGAATATCTTATTGAGTTTAATGGAAGTACAATAAATGGTTGACTTCGACCGTAAGCCAATGTGTAGCAATGAAAATAAATGCCTAAGCGACAGTGTATCTTTGTCATGCGATGACATTTGTGTGTGACAGTACTAGTTGTGTGAGTGAGTGCGTTTAGTGGCGATACTAGATTTAGTTTAATAGTACTTCAAATTCAAACTCTTTTACGTTTATTTGTTTTTGATTATTTTTTGAAACACATTTCCAATTTTGGTATATTACAGTTATAAAAACAAAACTATTTTTATTGCTTATTAATTTAGCCAGCGATGACTTTAGCAGACTTTTCAAAGCAATTATTTACCGCCGGTGGATTACTCTGGGGTGGCTTACATTTTGCTTCCCATTGTTTCCAGGCCTTAAAACCTTCCTTGTTTAGAACAATTTGCGCACATTGTGCGGATTTTTTAATATCATCCGTCAACAAATCTGCGGGAAAAATGCGTGTTAAACAGTAATTATTTCGAAAAAGGAAAATTAATCATTTCAATTACCTTCACATCTCATTTTACAAAAGCCGCCAACATAACCGACACGACAATAATGTTGGCTATTTATCTGTTGAGGAAAAAAAATAATGACAATTTCTTCATACACTTTAAAAAACGATTGCAGATTGACGGCGTAGAAAGAATGGCAAATTCTAACCTGGAACAAGCCATAACTTTTATATGGTGAGGCACCAGTTGTCACCAAAGGTTTATATTCGGCCACTTTTTTCGTATCCAATTCTTTATTTTCAGCTACAATCATACACATCCCTGCATCATCGGAAACAAAAAAAAAATCAACCGTGAAAGAAAAATAAGTTGAAAGTAATAAAGAAATCTGCCAAAAAAAACTCTTACACATCGACACCAATGTCCGGCTAAAACCAAGCTTTTCAACGAGTTCTTTAGCAAGATTGCACTTTTTGTAGATTTTGGCATCGACGAGCACCAGCCCAAGAAGGGTTATCAACAAAACTACTTTAGCCGATTTCATATCGTCGCGATACCAAGAAGTCTTCTGTGCAAATGAAACCGAAATCAAATATATGTTAATATATCTCGGGACATTCGAACCGTATGAAGTGTGTATTGTTATATTTCTTTTGCGTAGTTAGGAAATTCCCAGTCTACGTACTGCGCTTTATATCAATTGAAACGCAATGAAATTTATTTGGACAAACAGACGGCATAGTACATTTGGATTTGTGGGTGATTATATATTTGTTCTCAATTTATGACGTTGCATTCTTAGTTTAATAGTAATTTATAATAAATTTTTAAATATAAACTAGCTTATCAATTTTTTTCGTGTCCATATAAGGATTAAAAACACCCACTTATTATTTGATATGGATTTGCGACCAGTGCATTAAACAGAGGCACTTAAAATAAACTGTTATATCATTCAAATGTATATAAGTACAGTATACTTTAAAAAGAATCAACATCATACCATGCCTTTACTGCCGATTGATGATATCTAATCTTTAATCGATTTTATTGTTTCAAGATGTACGACGGCTGCCTTTTCGTACATATTAACCCTCAAACGCACACGTGGGGTCTCTTAGGCCCCAAGAGTTAGTTTTTTGAAAAAATCACAAAAATATAAAAAAGAATTGGAAAATTTCGCTGAGCGTTTTCTTTTTTAATATCATATCTATGTGATAAAATCAAAAATTTCAATGTTTGGTGCATAGATGAAGTTTTGGGAAGTCTTATACAAAATACTAACGTAAAAGCACAACGGGGTCTTTTGGACCCCAAATTATTTTGTATGGGAAATGATGTATTCTGTATGGGCCAATATGAAACTCATGGAGATTTGTTGACACAACAATTTACATTTCATCAAACAACAACACAGTAAATTGTTTCGTCCGTGACGTATACTGTTCATCGCAAATCAAATGGCATTTGCCATTATAATATATATTCATACATTGTTTTTTTTTTGGATAGGATAGATCCGTAAGATCTCCACAAGAGCTTGATCTAAGCGTGCATACGCCGCCGCATGATATATTCGTTCGTTTTTCTGTGTTGCTTCGACGCGCAAATCAAAGCAGGCGTGCCAATCAAAGTATGTATCATGCGGCGGCCTACGCACGCTTAGATCCAGCTCTTGCGGAGATCTTACGGATCTATCCTATCCAAAACACAATGTATGCCTTGTTGCGAACGTCTAACAACATGTTTGCCAAGTATGGAGGAAGAACGGAAGCAGCGCGATCTCATCGCACTCCATATAAAGCAATGTAATTGGTTTCGATCACGCAAATGTGCTGCCACCTGGTGTCTCAGAGTTAAGCTGATATATCACACATGCTTCTTGCAAATGCAGAAGAAGAGGAAGGAAAAATGTTTACATAGGGTTGAACTTATAAATGCCAGAGAGCTACAGTGTTCAAAGTGTGATCGCCCTTCGGGAAGCAGTCTCTATATTGATCTCACATATCGAGAGGTAGTTCGGCGCAGTACACGAAGCACATTAACTGGCCAACGACTGTCGATTAGCGATATTAGTGAAAGACACGACTGTCTAAAAGTCGTACATATCAATAACTACCAAGAATTTTGGCTATAATTGATTTTTTTTCCATAAAAATCAATATTAAATTGTGATGCTGTATTGGAAAGTAAGGAATAAGCTATGTTTTAACTATAAAATGACATATTTTACTCATTGGATACCATTTTGCATAAGTTTTGTATGAAATTTCTCATGGGTCCAAAAAGACCCCACCTGTGCGCTTACGTTACTGTTTTAGCCTGTGCGGTTAAGGGTTAATAAACATCAATCAATTTATTCCTTTGATGCCGATCAATTGTTGAACCGGATCGAAGAGTTACGATTCTTGGAATTTTATTCAAACTTAGACTAGATAATCATCGCGATAAATATTTATTGCTCCAAGCATTCTACACATGTTGATAAGCATCAAGGAATAATTGTAATTTTTTCGCCATTACACTTTTGTACACGATAATAAAACACAAGTTCAAATTGTGACCAGTGAACGGATCGAGAAGATTGAACAATGAAATACGTCACACGCAATTCATAACACAATGCCGCAAAGACACACACACACACACACACACATACACACATGCGCGCGCGAACGAATTTAACTCTTATTGACTTTGTGAGATAATTAAGAAAATGAATGTAGGTGTTACTGGAAAATAATAATTGTATCTTGAATTTGAATATTGACGTCAGACACAATGAAATTATGTTGAATTAGTCGCTTATCAGCGTTTGCCGCAGTATACTTTTTGCACATACAAACACTGTTTAACTCAATAATCAATATGTCTTTGTTTACCTATAGATATTTTTGAAGATTCCACGAACTGTTCGCCACGAAAAAAAAAACCGGATGAAAATAGAGCAAGGTGAGCTGAAATGGCGATGTATCAGCTACCCGCTTTGAAATAAAACACAACCGAAAAACTACTGAATTTGTCGATTTTCTTTGGCTATCGATAGATAAAGAAATAATCATACACGCGACACCAAACACTGCCAATCATCTGATCGTGTGCCAATGATAAACAAATCGCTCACACAAACGCAAATACGAAAATGTATTACAATTACAAATACAATGTACGCTGAAGCGGCTAAGATGATCGCGTGAAACAATGAAAGAAAATAAGCCGAGCGACATTCTTGTGTGATAAGAATATAAATGAAATCGAGTTTGCTACTTGCCAATTGACCTGATATTCTTGTTATTATAATCATTTTATGGCGATTAGTATTTTAAATGCGATTTAAATACAGAATAAATGAATTGTCTAAATTTAATTTGTTGGAACATTTCTGAGAAACTGGTTATCGTCTCCCTTCAATTCATCAATCACACACGCCAAACAGCTAAACAAGTAATTGAATGGTGCGGCTACCTCTTGTTAAAAATCTCTTTTGATAAACATCTCAATTGTTGAGATTCAAATCTTGTTTTGTGACGAACAAATTTTTGATTCGAACACGAAAAGCGTATGATAAATTTAAGGGATTACTATGATTGAATTTGTTTATCAAAATTTGAATTCGGAAGGTTATATTATTAAAAATATCTATGGGCAAATAGTTTCGCAATTTGTAAAGAACTTACAAAAAAACCTGCACGAATTTATGAAATCCGTGTTTACGCAAACTTAGACGAATCCACAAGAAGTATCACGGCAAAAATATTTTATAAGCAATGTTGTACGAAAATTTGTATTCAATGATTCACTTCGAAATCGAGATTGATGATTCGAATCGAAAGTGAACAAATCAAAAAAAGTTCAATAACAAAGGTCAGCTAAAATTGGTGTTCTCGAAAACATTAATATAAAAATGAAATATCTGTTTATAAATATTTTTTCGGCGAATCTACAGGATTGAAAAAACTGCAACAGACTTATAACTCGATTTAAAAATCGCGGAATTTCGCAAAGGAACTGCAACTGGTTTTATACAATGATGTTCACGAATGTCATATTCAAGAGAATTTGATAGAATTTGGGAGCATGTTTGGGACTCAAAATCCTAGTTAGAATCCCCTTGCATAAATCATGTCCATAAAATGATTTCATTTTCGGATACAAGTTGTGGGGCCATATGACAGAATTTATTCAAATTGAAAATAAATAAATGTATTGTTCGAAAAGTGAAACACCTGATCGAATTACATAAAGACATGTTTTTATAAGGTCGATTCACAATTCTTGTAAATTAAGTAACGGAATACTACTCTGTAGAACATACATCAAATTTAAGGTTAACATTAATATTTTTCAAAAATACTGGATTTCGATTCAAATTTTTAATTAAAATTCAAAATGTTGAAGTTCTTCGGTGTTGTAAACAAATTGGCACAAGTGGTCTTTTAATTTCCCCATAAATTTACTTTGAATTTTGAATATCGTATTTGTGTCATCAACTCTAGTACAACATATATCGATAGAATAGCAGAAGCCGATAGTAACAAAAGTCGCAACACATTTTTGACACATTGTTGGCGTTAAGGTTAAGATTTAAAAACAATACTATGCAATATTTGGAAATCGGTTTGACAAAATCAACGAATAAATTCTGTGGAAAAAAATATCAGTAATTTAACAATAATTCAATAAATTCAATTACAAATATATGTTCAGAGAGAATAAATAAATGAAAATGATCTTTAAACACATCACACAAATGTGTAAAAATGCAAAAGGCTGTAATAAGTATAACATTTTAAGGCTCACCCCTTCCGCCATTAATCAAGTGCACAGATTTTATTCACAATTTCCATTGAGAATTCAAAAACCAAGACAATCCATTGGCTTTTATTCATATGAGAAATGCAATCAGATACGTTGTGCCAGCATCAATGTGGATAGCACAATATCAGAAAACATTTCATCAAAATACAGAGAATTAGAGGCGAATTTTAAATGGCGAGCCGATCCAGTAATCACAACACTTGATCCAAAGAAACTTGAATCGGTACTACAAGGAGAGGAAATGCTCGAATTGATTGAGCTTTTTAAGAAAAACGGTTATGAACTTCGCATTGCCGGTGGTGCCGTCAGGTGAAAATCTATCATCTATATTTTCATTAAAGAATAAATAAAACTAATGGTGTTTCTTTTGGTGAAACAGAGATTTGCTAATGAATGTCGTACCAGCAGATGTTGATTTCGCAACAACTGCAACGCCAAAACAAATGGTAAAAATGTTTTGGAAGCAGAATATTCGTACGATCAATGCGCATGGTGAAAAATTCGGAACTGTTACAGCTCTCTTCCCAAATGATGTACGCTTTCAAGTGACGTCACTACGGATTGACGTTCATACAGATGGAAGATATGCGGATGTTGAATTTACAACCGATTGGTTGCTGGATGCTCATCGCCGCGATTTCACCGTCAATTCCATGTTTCTTGGCTTTGATGGCAAAGTATACGACTATTTATTTGGCTACGAAGATTTGAAAAATCGTCGAATCGTCTTTATCGGGGAACCAGACAAACGGATTAAAGAGGACTATTTACGAATTATGAGATATTTTCGGTAAGCAAAACAATGCATATATGTTTCTCTATATCTGCTAGTTTTATCATTTTTATTTTAGATTCTACGGTCGAGTGTCAGATAGTCCAAATAATTTTGATGCGAACATCATCAAAGCAATTTGTGAAAATATTGATGGTTTGCAGGATATCAGTGGACCACGTATTTGGTGTGAATTGAGGAAAACGTTAATTGGAAAGCATTGCTTTGACATTTTTGCAAAGATTATTGAATGCGGCGCAAGTCAATATATTGGTAAGTGATTGATCTTAGACAATTAAAACACCCGTTGACAAAATGAACGAGGAAAATTAAATTGAAAAAATGTCATTTTGTTTTGCAGGTCTGCCCGCTTCGGTTAACTGTGAGAATTTACTCCGTTTGAAGAAAACTTTTGAAACAACATTCAAAGATGTTGCCATCCATCCGACTACAATCGTTTCTACAGCACTTAGTTCAAAAGATGATGCAATTCATTTGAATACCCGCTTCAAGCCCACAGCATTTGACCGAGATCTGGCCATTTTTCTGGCGGAAAATAAAACGAAAACGGGTGACATTGATGACTTATTGTGAGTAACGTTCTTAATTGGTTTTTCAAAAAAATGTTTTTTTCATAATTCAACTTTTCAAATGAAAAAAAAATATGTTTTCGTTAACAGTCACTACCAAAAGTTGTGCATACCGCAGAATAAACGTTCGTCTAAAATCTCAAAAGAGTATACTCTTGAACTTTTGAAATATAACGACAAACGACAAATCTATGACCAACTATTGGAATGGGAGATGCCAGAATTTCCGATCAACAAACCCATTTTGTCGAAGCGTGGATATAAAGGAACCGTGGCAGAATTAATTCTGGATAAACTGTGTGTCGCTTGGGCCGATGGTAAATTTCAATTATCAAAGGACGAACTGTTGGAGCAACACCTTACAACCATCGCAGCAAAAGCTATCGAAGAGCTGGAGGCTGAAAAAAAGTCAAAAAAAAATCGAAAAAAATTTACTGCACGACTGTAGATTGTATTTAAGGAAATAGTTATTAAATTTGATTTTGAATGCATTTTTTTTATTAGTCAATAAAAAAGAAGATAAAACTTTGATTTTTTTTAATTTCCCAATAATTTTATTCCAAGCAATTTTTGATTGCTGTAAATATTACACATGCTTGCTTTAAATAGCTAGAAATGTGTATTTGTATGCAAAACCACAACAGTTGTACTAGAAGAGAATACGTTAAAGTTAAACACATGTAAGAACAACAACAATAACCAAAACACTCACATTTTGACACATTGTTTTGACGGCTGCAAAACATTCTAAAAGATTAAACAACAAATGAAATATTCCGATTTTATGGTGAAATTCGTTTATTATTATTTTTGTGTATTAATCGATTTTGTTGACATTTTAAAGACTGAACATTTCTATGCATCAAAGAACTAGTAGCCACTATTTAAAATTAAAAGAAGAATGCTAAGGCAGAGTTTTCAAATTTGGAAAAATGGCAATCACCGAGTTTTACGGGGGCTTTCATCATTTTCGATTGACCAAGAGCAAGTTAATCGGTTTGGATCAACCGTTCAATCGAATGAGTACAATAACTGTCGAAACCTACTGGCTGCCCCTTATCTGGATAGGAAATGTGGTCAAATACGGTGCACCAGCAGCGATGATTCAAACTTATTGAAAAACGATCTATCCAAATACAAGGATTTGGAATCAAAATGGCGGGCTGATCCAGTGATCACAATAATTGATACGCCACAATTTAAATCGATTCTTAAAAAGAACGTTCTGGATTTGGTGGCATTGTTTCAGAAGTACAACTATGAAATTCGAATTGCCGGCGGTGCGGTGAGGTAAAATAAAATCATTTTTTTTTTTAAATAAATGACTTTATCGAATTTCGTTTCGAAACAGAGATCTACTTATGAATATCACACCAACCGATATTGATTTCGCCACAAACGCAACGCCCAAACAAATGGTCGAAATGTTTGTGACGGAAAATGTTCGAGTTATTAAATCGAATGGTGGAATTTTCGGAACCATTACTGTTCGCATCAATGACGAGGAAAATTTTGAAGTCACTACATTACGGATTGGTGTTCATACGGATGGAAAACAAGTCGACGTTGAATTCACAACTGATTGGCTGTTGGATGCTAGTCGACGTGATCTAACCATTAATTCAATGTTTCTTGGATTCGATGGAAAAGTCTATGACTACTTCTTTGGCTTTGATGATTTGAAAAATCAACGAATTGTTTTTGTCGGGGAGCCGACCAATCGCATTAAAGCTGATTATTTACGTATTTTGAGATATTTCCGGTAAACAAAGCCATGCATATTGTGAAAATGTCTACTATAGTTTTATCATTTTTATTTTAGATTCTACGGTAGAGTATGTGAAAATCCGAACAATTTTGATGCAAAAGCAATCAAAGCTATTCGTGAAAATATTGATGGGTTGCAGATAATCAGCGGAGAACGCATTCGAGTCGAATTGAAAAAAATATTACACGGAAACCATCGTATCGAATTATTGATTAAGCTAATTGAATGTGGAGCCAGTAGATATATGGGCAAGTGATATTATCGAGGACATTAACATGGAATCGATTATAATTATTTTGTGATCAATTACAGGTTTTCCAGCTGCCGTTGATTGTGATGATTTACTCCGTTTAAAGCAAACTCTTGAAACAACATTCGAAGATGTTGACATCAATTGGATTATAATCCTATCGACTTTAATCAGTTCGAAAGACGACGCCATTCATTTAAATTCTCGGCTAAAATTCAAAGCAGGCGAACGAGATCTAGCCATTTTTCTTGGAGAAAATAAAACTGCAACGCGTCACATTGACGATATACTGTAAGTATTTTACTCTTTTCTTTTCTTAATTGTAGACCACAGTGTAGAAAATATATTATCCATTTCATTCAATCATAGTCACTATCAAAAGATGTGTGTGCCACAACAAGGTCATTCGTTCAAAGTGAGAAAAGATTTTGTTCTTGCGCTTCTGGTGTACAATGGCAAGCGTCCAATCTATGATCAATTATTAGATTGGAAGATTCCCAAGTATCCGGTGAATCGAACCATTCTTGAAAAGCATGGATGTAGAGGTCACAGCGCGGAGTTAATTTTGGAAAGGTTACGTCTCATTTGGGCTGATAGTAATTTTCAAATATCTGAGAACGAATTGTTGCAGCAACATTTAGCCGATGTAAAAGAAAAAGTTTTTGCAGAACTGAAAGAGCGGAAACTTCAGAAAAAAGCGTCAAGATTAAGAGAAAATATTACGCCATAAAATAATGTATTTAAATTCAATTGTATAAATCAAAAAAATTTTTTTTTACATAAAACTTATGTGTAAATCTCAATCGTTCACGCTATTTCTAATTTGTTGAAAAAGGGAAGAAGAAATAGTAATATCCGATTTCTTGTGAAATTCATTTTCGCTCAGCATTTTAATGAAATAAATAAAACAACTTGTTGAATTAAGCCTTTCAAATCAGGAAAAGGAAGGTTTTGACCCATCATCGCTTCAAGGCACCGAATTCATGATTCAATTTCTCATGGACGACGATGTGGATAGCATAAGATATTTAAAAAAACCAAGATCAGTTATTGTAGATTTTCAAAAAGGAAAAAAATTATAATAATTTAAAATAAAAAGATGGAATAATAGGAATGCCGGTATTTGATAAAATTACCAAATCCAAGTAAATTTTATAAATATAATTTGAATAGTCTCGATTCTGTTCAAGTACACCAAAAATCTAGTACAACCCATTGCCATAATACACAGAGACACCATTAAAAACAACAACAACAACTCTAGTTGAAACACATTTTGACACATTTTTTGACGGCTTGTAGTTAATTCAGAAAAAAAAACTATGGTGATATGTTTTCTTTAGTTAATGAGCAAATTTGGTAGATTATTGTGAAAATCATTGATCCAACATTGATTACAGTATAACTACGATGTGTAACATTCTAATGGAATTCGATTTTGTGCATAAATTCAAGTGAAATACCAAAGGCTTAAAACTATTGATTTATGGACATTTTTAAGTTCGAAAAAAAAAATACTATCGGCATATAGCAAAATAATACGATACCAATAAATGATGCTCAAACAATGTTCACATATCTGGAAGAATGCAACTATTAAAAAGTATAATATAGTTATAAAAAGAAACGCTTCGTTCATTGTTGGTCAAGTGCATTTGAAGCAGTTCAATTCGAACATTCAATTGCATCGGAATTTTAAGACTAAAAGTCAAACACTGAGTACTGTTGCTTATCATTTGCAAAAAAACCGTCATCAAATACGGTGCATCACTAGTAATAATACGGTAAATAATACGAATCCATTTCGATCGAAAAGTGTTGCATCCAATTACGAAAATATGGAGACGAAGTGGCGAGATGATCCTGTCATTACAACGCTTGATACACCACAGTTTAAAGCGATGCTGCGAAAGAACATTCTTGATTTGGTGGCATTGTTTCAAAAATATAACTATGAAATTCGCATAGCTGGCGGTGCCGTGAGGTAGGAATTTTTTCTTTTTTGTGTGTTGTGACAATTTTTCATTTGTTTTATTTTGACAGAGATCTGCTCATGAATATTACACCGATCGATATTGATTTTGCAACAACTGCAACACCAAAAGAAATGATTGAAATGTTTACCAAGGAAAATATTCGTATGGTCAATTCAAATGGCGAAAAACATGGAACCATCACAAATCGCATCAATGACGAAGAGAATTTTGAGGTGACCACACTGCGGATAGACGTTCACACCGATGGAAGGCATGCTGAAGTTGAATTCACAACCGATTGGTTGCTGGATGCCAGCCGACGTGATTTAACTATTAATTCTATGTATCTTGGATTCGATGGCAAAGTATATGACTACTTTTTTGGCTATGAAGATCTGGAGAATCGGCGAGTCGTTTTCGTTGGCGAACCAGCCAATCGCATCAAAGAAGATTATTTACGTATTTTAAGATATTTTCGGTAAGTTAAACTAAGTGACTATGTCACTGTATAATTTTCGTTTGTTCATTTTTTTTTTTGCTTGTTTTCAGTTTTTATGGCAGAATTTCTGATATACCCGACAATTTTGATGCGAAAACAATTGATGCCATTTGCGAGAATATTGATGGATTACAGAAAATCAGCGGCGAACGCATTTGGACTGAATTGAAGAAAATATTACAAGGAAATTATCGTATGGAATTATTTATTAAACTTATTGAATGTGGAGCCGGAAGATATATTGGTGAGTGCATTCGATATTACTTCAAATAATTTAATTTAAATAAATATGAACGATTTGTTTTTGGCGTTGCAGGTTTTCCCGCTTCCGTTGACTGTAATGATTTGTTCTGTTTGAAACAAACACTTGAAACGACATTCAAAGATGTTGCCATCAATCCAGTTACAATCCTTTCGACACTGCTCAATTCAAGAGAAGACGCACTCTGTTTACATTCTCGACTAAAATTGTCGGCATATGAACGTGACATGGCATTTTTCCTTGCCCAAAATAAGGCCGTAACACGAGGTATTGATGAATTGCTGTAAGTATTATTCAATTAAAATGAAAATTTCGAAGAAAAAAAAATATTAATCAATTGAATTGTTCTTTAACAGATATTACCAGAAAATGTGCTTGCCGCAGAAAAATCGTTCGTTTAAATTGCTAAAAGACTTTGTTTTGGAACTGTTGAAATACAATGACAAGCGACACATCTACGATGAATTATTGGAATGGGAACAGCCAAAGTTTCCGATCAACGGTACAATTTTAACCGAATGTGGATACAGTGGCCGTAAGATGGGTGCAATTTTGGAGAAATTGCGTGATATTTGGGCCGATAGTAATTTTCAAATGTCCCAAGAAGAATTGTTGCAACAACATTTAACGCCTGTACAACAGAAAGTTGCCGAAGAAGAGAGTCTCCGAAAAAAAGTCAAAACAAAAAAATAAACAGACGCCAATTGCATAATGAACGAATTGCGTCGCCGTATAGCTCGAAGCAGTAAAAATGAATTTACGCATTTCGACACATGCACTGTAAATTTAAACCGAAAATGAACAGAGAATCAAATTTTTAGAAATAATCAAAAGAAGTGGAAACAAAAACTGGAGATATATAAGTTTTTAAAACTAAAGTCTTCAATAAAGAATTATTACTTACTTGAATTGCCATTTAAAAAAACAAACAAACACGTGTCGTATCTTTTTTTTCTCTGACAATTTATAAATGTATAATTGCATTAATGCAATCGTTTAGTCATAAATCGATAGAGTTGTTATTTATTGTAGTAATTTTATCATCAGTATATCGCTTGAATGGTTTTTTGTAATCAAGGGTACCATTTAAGTACCATTTCTTTGCATCAATTTAATTTGTGTAACAAAAACGACGAAAATACACATGAAGTAACAAAACAAAATACATGTGACCAATTTTAAAACAAATGAGTAATATTTACAAATTTCGATATTATCATTATCATCATTTTCATCTCTTTTTTGTCGTCTCTTTATCAGATAATTCAAAGCTTATCGCACTTGAAATTTCGGAGAAGCGCGTGGATATAAAACAATGGAATGGAAAGAAAAACATATTTTAATGAAATTCACTTGAACAGACAACGATCGTTAAAATGACACATAAAAAAATGGGAATTTACCAGAAAATAAATAACAAAAAAATCCAGAATGTAGGACATTTCATACACATGAAATAGACATGAACTCGGTAAACTTCATTTGCACGTTGAAAACAACGAACTACGAAGCGTCGAGACATTGAACAGTAATTGTGATTTATTGTGTTTATTTATTTCATCATTGCTCGTCAAAGAAAAGCGTGAACATTTGAGCGCCACAGTTAAATATAATGAACACGTCTGAAATACTTAGTCTTATAGCTGCCGCCACACTGGATATATCTAAAAATTCATCGATCGAAACAAAACTGAATCGAAACTTGATTTTAATTATTAGCACACGCAAAACATTTGCTCTACATTTTTAATCGTGAATTATTTATTTTACGATTATTATATAATTGCTTTACAGCTTTAAAGAAAAAAATCCGCAACGAGAAAAAAACAGACGGAATTTAAAATTTAATTTAGTGGTGATTGAGACCTGAAATACGTGCAACATGCAGTTTTTTATCATTTGTACCGTGTTATTTGCTGGTGAGTTATTTAATTTTCAAATATCATTTATGCGTGAATTATCTTTAATCAATTAAATGAGTCACTTTTTTTGTGTGTGTCTGCCTGCATAGTGTTGATTGGTTCAAGTTCGGCATTTTTTAATTTTTTTCCACAACCAACAAGTGGGTGTACAGTTCTTGCTGTCGTACCAATGAGAGTTGACGCTCCACATCCTTCTAGTATATACTATAAAGCTCACCGTTTTCCGTCCTTGAATGAAAAACTTAGCGAAAACCAAAGTCGATTCAATCGTAATTTACATCAAGGTAAAACGTATAAGCTTATATATAAGCAGGTGTACTTGAACTTAAAATGCCTGACGATTTTTGTTTTTCTTTTAGTATGGGTGGATGCACCGGATCCAACGTACTGCGGCAACACTGGAGGAAGATGTTGTTTGAACGCTTTCATCCCCTCACAGTACGAATGGCGTATATTTGCAACGGGAGATAAAAAGAAAATTGCCAACGAACAACTATATAATAACAGAGACATTCATTCATGGACATATAAAGGTAGAAATTCAAATGAAATTAGAGCCCACATTTTTTATCAACTTTATTTTAATTTTTCAGTATGGACTGATGCCCCATCACGTTTTTGTAATATTTACTAATATACTTGCCGTACCATCCATAAATTGATCAACGAAAAACAAAATCAAATATATTTTTTTTTTATTTGCCTAACAGAAGCATATATACGCTAATTTCAATTTTACTTGTGTCATTCTACGAAATTATTTCGCAAACATGTGTTTCACACAATCCATATATTTGAGCAATAAAAAAAAGAACGATTTGAGTTGATAACAAAATTTAAATTACACTTGTCCAAAGCAATATTTTTCTACTTTTCAGGTGTTTCATCGTCACAATCAGTTTCAGTTAGTTATTTTTGACAACAATTGAACGAAGTTGAAAAGATATATCTGATATCTTTCATGAGTTTGATATGTGAAACAAATAAAAACCAACTGAATTGGTTCGTTGAACGGGTGACATCAATAAAAACAAACCTATTATCAAAACAAATAACTTCAGCAATGAAATGATCAACAACATATTTTGAATCATGAGTTTTATCCAAGTTTAGTTTGATATTTTATATAAATTGTTATTATTTTTGAAATTTATCACAATTAAATTATGCGATTAGGAAATTTAATGCACATTTTCTTAAAATAAATTCAGTCAAAAAAAAAATCAATCAGTCAAAAATTCAAAAATAATTTATAAACGTCTATTTCGTTTAAATGTAGATTCTTTAAAAGTCATTCCGTTCATTTACATTGAATTTCTGAATGAATATGGTATTGTCTTTAATTTCAAACTGATAATTTTCTTCTTTTTTTCAAAAATTCTCTTTTCCATTCCTCTTAATTCCAATTGTATTTTTCGATAAGTATGACCTTAACTCACATTAGTAAAATCTTTGTTGTGTTATCAGCGCCATCACAGCGATGACAAATTGAATTAGGTGTTCAATTGAAATGCGTTTGTTTACAACTAGAACGAAGTATCTGATGTTAATTGATTGTAAAAAAAGCCGACTGAATCTATTTTAAAGAAAATGAGTACAAAATCTGGTGGCGATGCTGATCCAATGAATGAAGAATACACGGGAAGTGTAACAGAGGTTGGAGCCCAAGCTGTTTGGAGTCTGTCATCATGTAAACCAGGTAAATTTATTTCACTGACACAATACCACTGAGCGTCCGTATTGGAACGTGCTAAACTGTTTCGATGTCAATTTGAATCCAAAAGGTTTTGGTGTGGAGCAATTACGTGATAATTGCATGGATACATATTGGCAATCAGATGGTCAATTGCCGCATTTGGTGAATATTCAATTTCAACGTAAAACAGCTGTCAATCAAATATACATTTATACAGATTACAAATTGGACGAAAGTTACACACCGAGCCGCATATCAATACGATCTGGGACGCATTTTAATGATTTACAAGAAATAGAAATTGTCGACTTGGTCGAACCGACAGGTATAAAGAGTGCATCAATAAAAATGAAACGTGTATCATTCTCATTTATTTTAATTTTTCAGGTTGGGTGCAAATTCCAATCAAGGATGTTCGCAATAATCCAATTCGAACATTTATGATTCAAATAGCCGTCATTTCAAATCATCAAAATGGCCGTGATACCCATATGAGACAAATTCGAATACATTCACCGATCGAAGGTCGTAAATATCTATTGGAAGGATTAGGGAAATTTACATCGGTCGAATTTCAACAATTTAGCACGATTCGCTAATTGTCATCATCATCATCATCAATGGCCAAAAAATTAATTTAATTTGAGATTCGCTCGTTGTTGAATTGTAATTTTTTTTTTTTAATTAAAAACATAATGAATATTAAAACATAAGAGTGCTGTCATGTATCTCAGCTCTGAACGAATTTGTTGCATTGCGTTTGTGTTACGTTTTTTTTTATTTGACAACTTCATGTTCACAGTAAATGGCGCACTTTATAACAAATGAAAAATCCGTTAGTCGCATACAATGTCAAATCAGCTCACATCATTTTGTTGTCCATGTGGTGTATTAATCTTTGAGTGAAAATAAAACGCAAAAAAAAATTCAATATAAAATGGGTGCAAAATGCCCGAAAAAGAGTTTGTCAATTTTAAACAAGTGGTTTTTATTGATTTTAATTGGATTTTATCCCATAATTACGGAAACCGCACCATCGGCCACTAGCTATGTTGATCGCGTTGCCGAGGCCAAAGCAAAACTTATCAAAATGATTCAAATAGGTATAAAAAGTTATTTTATTCAATTGCTTTTATAAAAATGGTAATTTCTTTTTTTACAAAACTCAAAAATTTGCTGTACATTCATGATGAGCGGTATTTTGTTCAATCCAATAGAAGAAGTTCTTTTTTTACATAACCACAATTATGGTTTTCTAAAAATTTCATAAATTCACTCATACTAATCGGTGCAACGGAATTATCATTATCAATATCATTGTCGCCGTACAATGTTTCCCGAAATTGCTTAAATCGCCGAAATTGTTGTGCTTTCGTTTGTGGTTTTGATTTTGTTTCGCTCAAACGTAAGGTAATCCGTTGCCATGCCCATTGACGAATGATTTTCCAAAATTCTTGTGTATTTTCTTTGGCACCTTCAACACAAATGATGCCCGGCTTGCCTGGCTTTGAGAATCCCGTTAAATCCAATTCTTTGGCCAATTTTAGAATATCTTGTCGTTTTTGTGTACTTTTTAAATGATGCGAATAAATCCATAAACGTTCCATTTCGACGGGTAAATCGGCATTCACTTTATCTTGTGCTGTTGGTGTTTGTACTTTTGTTGCATTGCCAATGATTGCATCGACATTATCTTGAAGCCAAACCACAATTGGATACACATAAACCGTTGATTTATCCACATCACCGCCATCAATATAGTCACCGATTTGTCGCTTTATTTCATTTTCAATGTGCATTTTATTTGGAGTGTTTAATGTCGTCCGCACAGTTATGTATGGCTGTTCCAATGACGGATACATATGCGGAAATTCAAATTGTAATTCAAGCGTTTGACCAACTTGACTCGATATTGGAATCGTTATTGTATAGTCGAGTTTTTGTGTTAGTCGATCGCTTTTCTTATCCAAATAATCAAACATATCGGCCAATATACTGTGGTCAGCGATTTTCATTTCGCCCGCATTACAAAATATCGATTGAAGCATTTCCACTTCATCACACTGGTCTTGAATACATTGTCGCAGCAGATTTTCAGTGGCCAATAGCGTTTCGTTATCCATGATTCGGCGTTAATTCATGCATTTAACCTAAGAGAAACGAAATGAACCAAAGATTATTAAAAGTACTACTTAAATTATATATTAGTAAAGTGATTTGATTTCTTTTTTAGAAATTCGTGAACTTAGTGGCTTTAATGAGTATTCAACGGTTCCCATGACATATCCATTGGACATTTGCCTGATGGAAGTCGATAAAAAGTTGTATGCAGCTTGTTTGGGACTCGTTGATTTTCGAAATAAAAAACGAACTATTATGAGAGTGCTTAAAAAAGTCGTAAGTTTGCACCCTTTACATTATTTGTTTTGAAGTTGTTTTGAAGGCTCTTTCCTCTTATTTTTCCATCCAATTAGCCACCCAGTCCTCTGAATAGACTCAACGATTACGTCGAAATTTTCAAATATGAAACACGTTCAGCACAAAGTATGGACTGTGTATCAACGTCAACCGAAGGCTATATATCCGTGGTCAACGATATAAAAACAAATAATTTGGATGATATAACAAAAGGATCGCCAATTTTCCAATTGAAAAATGATAAATTGATACCGATACAGTATTTTAATCGGCCGCGTCAAAATCGAATTCAATTTTTACACCATAAAAATGATCTGTTCATGTGGCAAACATTTCGAAACAGTGGAAAATCCAACGAAGAGTCAAATTGTCCGGTATTCAAATGGACCGATCAAACATTCAATGAAATTGGAAATATTCCATGTACGAATGCAATGCAATTGGAACCATTTTTGATTGATGGTGAAGTGTATGTGGCCGTTGCAAATTACATGGATGAACGTCAGAATGTTGAAACTCATTCGGCCATTTTTCATTATGATAAAACAACGCGTAAATTTAATTTAACACAAAATTTTAAAACATATGGAGCCATTGATGTTAAACATGTTCGTATCGGTGATAGTCATTTTTTGTTTGTGGCCAATTCATTTCAAGCACATTTAAGCGCTCATCCGGTTGTCACATCGAATGCTGTCGTCTATCGATATATGCACGAGAAATTTGTACCCATGCAAATTTTACCATTTGATGGAAAAATTATACAATTTTTACCGTATTTGGTATGACGTTTTTACATTTAAATTAAGCATACTACTTGATTGCTTATCGTGAGTTTTTTCTTCTTCTTTTGATTAATGTGATTGAATGCAGGGAAATAACAAGGAATTCGTGTTACTTATTTCAATGGAAGAAGGTCCCACGAAAGCATATCAGTATGATGGCACCATATTTTATGACTCCCAAATTACATTCACCGGCGATGCCTTTGCCAAAGGAATTTCAAGGATACGAACATACAAATTCACCAAAGACAATCGTTTCGTCCTCAGTATGTCATTCCAAACAGAAAAAATCCTCATTTATTTTTAAAAAAATTAAATTTTCTTCCAGTTGTTGCCAATACTGCAATGTATCGAGATACAATTAATTTATTCCAATTTCGCTTCAACACACGAATCGATTACGATTTTACGAAAGCATATGATATGTTCAACAATTGGTCTAAGAGTGTCGAGGACAAATTGAACACGGATCAAATTGTTGAAACGCACAATGAAATAGAAGTTCGTATAAAAATGGATTTAACTGCTGAAAATTGTATGCTTATTGGTTGATTTTAATTTTTAGTCACTAAAACCGCCACCTGGCTTTGGCGTTATTAATCTAGAAACCACAAAAGTAGACACCATCCACACAGATACGGTTTGTAATAGTGGTTGCTTATTGATAATTTTGATAAAAAAAACATAAATGATCCTTTCGATTTTTGTTTTTAAATATGTAGATTTCAAAATCATCGAGTCCGATTAATTTCACTGAATTAAAACGTGCTATAAACCGTGCTGAGGAAATAATTTCAAAAGAATCGATACGACGTCCGAAGCGTTTGAATGATTCAATGTTTGAGAATGATATGAATGCGTCATTAGAAAGTGATGAGGATGAAGATACATTTGAATTGGATGAATTGGGAATGCAAGCTTCACATACCTTAACCGTGAATGAACTAACCGTTTCAGAGAACTTTTTTACCGAAACCATTAATGGTCGTGAGTTTAAAGATTTGGTTCGTGAAGACTCGAATTTGAATCTGGATCATTTTACCGTTGATCGTTTGATCATCAGTGATTCGGAGAATTTTGAGGCGATCGAAAAGAAATTGCTGGATAGTGATAAACGAGTTAAGAGACAACAAGATACGTTTGATCCGATAGTTGAACCGATCATTTTAAAGGATGTAATCGTTGAAGGTCTTGTTAATGGCATTAATTTTTCATATATTGTTGAAAATGCTCTGCGAACCAATGTCCAAAATCAACGACTTGAGGGTGAAATTAATTTTGGTCGTTTGCAAGCAAAATCGATTCAAACGAACGACGGAAAAATTTCCAATATTGATCTAAATACCATTGCACGCATCAATGCCAATCAAACAATCATCTTATCACCGATACGTTTCACACAAGAACTTGATGTGAATCAATTGAAAATTGAGAATCGTTTAAATCACATTTTAATCGTAAATGGTCAAATGGATGCTTTATTCAAAAAATTCAGACGCCCACAAGAGATAACCGGTTTAAAGGAGTTTGAATCGGTTGTATTACGTGAACCAATTACATTACAAGGAAAAATCAATGTGACAAGTTCAACATTTAATCAAATGAGACCAATCGTTACCATCGATGACGATATTGTTATCGAAGACGATGTGTCATTTATGGGAAATGTTACAATTGGAAATCTATTGATTGCTCAAAATATGTACGGTGCAAGTATACGATTCAATGCAGCACAGTTACTAGGCGATGGTCTACGTTTCGATGAATCGGTCGATTTGCCAATGGAATTTATACAACCCTTTCAAATCGATGATTTAAAAGCACCATCTCGGATTAATAACATTTCCATTGAAAGTCTTATACGACGGAATGTAACTGAACAACAGAAGATTTGGGCATCAAAAATATTCACCACCGATTTATCGGTCGAAGATGGCCATTGCGATGCGAATGAAATAAATGGCGTCAATTTACAAATGTTGAATAATACAATGATGAAACGATCGGGTATAAATCAAATTGTTACCGGAAGCATTAAATTTGATAAAATTCAAGCCGGACGGTAAGTACTTCTTTCTTTCTTTCTTTCACAAAAACGATTTAAATTGTAAACTTTTATGTGATATGATCAGAGTTAAGTCAAAGAATCTAAACATCGGAAAAATACCGTACGATCGCCTTTTAACCAAAAATACGGATCAAGAAATCAATGGAAACGTTACAATTCATGGAAACATAGTTTTGGACGATGGTGAAGTGGAAATTAATCATTTAACCACAGAAAATAGCATTTTTGATGTTAAACTTCAGCAATTATTAGACGATTGCTATTTTCAATTGTCAAATGAAAGCATCGTTGTTACCACCGATAAATTTTTCGATAATTTAACCATTGGCGAATTGGTTATCGAAAATGATTTTTGGCAAGCGGATCTATCGACCGAAGAGATTATAACACGTTTCGAAGAACTAAAGAAGGGCATTATAGTCAAAGGACCACTTAAATTCACATCCACCATCAATATCAGCAATCTCACTGTTACGGGTAGCATTAATGATATACCAAGTGCAAAGTTCGGCAAACAATGGCTACTTTCAAAGGGAAAACAAGTAGGTTTTACACCAAGAGAAAATCTAAAGAGAGAAGTCGTAAGTGTTTTTATTCTTTTTTCAGACCTTTTTAGAACCGCAAAATTTCACCGATGTCACATTCAACGATAATCTACAATTGTTCGGCAGTATTAACGGCTATGATTTTGACAAACTTGTCCAAGACTCTGTGAACAAGAGTGAACCAGCTTCGCTCAAACATGTTATATTCGGTAGATATATTTATTTTCTCACCTTCGGAGGAATCTGTCTCTTTCTCTCATTGCCTCTCTTTATAGAAGCATTCTATTCTTTCAAAACTGTATGAAATTCAGTTTAGAGATGCTTTGGAGGTTAAATACAAATATATTTACGAAAATGCTCCTTTTTTTCAGATAATATTATTTTCAAGAAGAATCTAACAATTGGCGGAAAATTGTCAGACATTCAAATTCCGGACGATTTAATTCTCAGTCATTCGGATACATTGCAAAATTTCAATGAACCATTTGTGTTTGCTGGAGATGTTGAGATTATCGGAACACTTGCGATAGCCGATAAATTGAATGGTTTTAATCATGCACAATTTTGTAATTTAATCGAATCAAAGCCAGACATTCAACACCGTTTGATTATAAAAGGTGCGATATTCTTTCTATCTCGACTGTATTTTGGTTGTCTTCAATTTTTTTTTTTTAACGAACATTTAATGTGATTATCGGTTGTTTTTAGGTGATGTCATGTTTGCTGATGATCCAACGATAGAATATCTCAATTTGGAGTCATTCGAACACATGCTCCTTACCACTTGGTTTAAAAATGATCGTCACGTGAATTTTTCATCGACCGTTCATTTTGACAATGTCATTTTCGAGAAACCAATCACAACAACGGTATTTACAATTCTTTGAAAACTACTCGATTGGCTCATAGTTGTTGTGGTTTTTTTTTTTTTCGATTTACTCGTTTTAGGGTTTGATAAATGACATAGATTTGGTGGATTTACAAAAGCGTTACATGAGTTTAAATACGCCACAAAAAGTGTCGACGCCTCTACGTTTCCACGGCCATGTACATTTTCGCAATTCAATAACTGTGGATACACTTTCACTGGAAGGACTTATAAAAATACCTCAAAGGTAAGCAAGCTCACCCAGGCGCTATTGCTCTGTTTTCATCGAAATAAATTCATTTACCAATGTGAAGAGTATGAGCGTGTATAATCACAATGAATTGATGGTTTGCAATTGAACTTACTTGAATTTGGAAAGATGTAAATCGGCCAATTTAAATTTGGTGCTTTATAATTCCGAGTTAAAAAAACACACACTGTTTTTATTATTATTCGATTGACATATATCAGAGACAATTGTCAACATCGACACTGTCAACGTCACAGCATGTGTGATGAGTTTTGTGTGGTAATTAAGCACACCGATAGATGGAGCTGAGTGATTAAATGGTGCTTTTTCGTTTTTGCTGCTTTTGATTTAAATGAAAACGAAAACAATAAACCAAAAAAATTCATATACATTTAACCATTTCTGTTATTTCTTATCATTCGTTTAACAATATAATATGAATTTTCCATTGAACAAATAGCGATATCACATTGAATATCACGGACTTCGATCAGAATGTTTTGAAAAATACGAAGGATACGCAATTCATTCGAGGCCATTGGACGGTGAATGAAATCAGATTTTTGGGTAATAAAATGTCCAATTGATTTGTCATTGAATAGGGTTTTATCGCTTCAAATTAATTATGTATTATTTTCGTTTTTTGTTGTTGACATCGCATGCACACAGGAAATTTGAGTTCGACCACAATAAATGGTTTGAATTTTGCATCCGACATCGTTCGTTGGGATCGACCCGATTTAAATGTAATACATGCACCGAAACGATTCCGGTCTCTAACCGTTGAACAATTGACATGTCGTGATCGGTGTACATTGCAAGGAGTTGATATGGAGGATTGGACGGATCGTGCGGCTATGACCGGTTTAAATCAAACAATTCAAGGCACCGTTTATATACGAAATCCCGTTATATCATCGATTCAAGTATTGGGACAAGTGAACAATATGGAAATTAATTCACAAAGTGTACTGCTTAAAGGTGTACCGCAAAGAATGAATGGCATTGTTACGATCGGAAATCGTTCACACATCGATTCAATTAGTTCGATGACCATTGAAAATTTAATGGTGAATTTTATCAATGATAAAAATGTATCGGAGTTCTTTGAAAATCTGGTGAAAAAAGATGGCCGTGGCAATGATGTGGGTGAGATTTTCTCAAACATTGAATTTATCAATGGTGTCGATTTTGAAAATATTAACACCGACTTTTTGAATGGACTAAATGTCAATGAGGTCACATCACAAGATCATATTATGTATCGTGATAAACTGAGAGCCGCCACCGATAAATTGGATGCCATTGTCAATAAACTTATTCGACGCGAAAAATTTGCACATTTTGATCAAATGATCGTGCGTAGAATACTGTCGCCATCAACTCAACGAGTCCAAAGACTTCTTGGATATGATTATGAATTTGTTGCAAATAACCATTCTCATGTTGAATTTTATACGTGGAACTGGAATACGAAAACACTGCACGAACTTAACAGTAAGTGAGCTATGGACACATTTTTATAATTTAATGACCTTACCTTAAAAACTAGTGTGACCAGTTTGACAAAAACCAAAATTAAAACCAAACTAAAACAGACAAACTAATTTTTTTTATCTATTATTTTTGATCGATTTTATAACAGTACCGTTAGCCTTGCCAGAAAATATGGTTATCATTGATGTGAATGTATTGCGTGCGAACCCAATGTATATACTGCTGATTCAAATGGAAGATCTATACACGGGGAAATGTGTGAAGTTTTTCTATGATTATTCAAATGGTTTGGATCAAATTCAATACATTTATGCAATTGCCGAAGACATCCAAATGACCATCGAACCATTTGAGTTGGATCAACGCCATTGTTTTATTCAATACAAGTAATGCAATTCATTTTTAATTTGCTATTGATTTTTCATCGTTAGAAATAAAAATCATTTCACCATTTCTCATGCACCAAAACAAAATCCACACTCTCCATAACCAATATAAAATTTTCTACTTTACCATTGCAGAAAGTTCAATGCAACACAATACATTGTGTATTGCATGGACGTTGTTACCGATGGCGAAAGTAAACAATTGAAAGTGCATCAAATTGATGTAGCAAATGCAAGTGAAATTTATAAAATTACCAGCGGATATGCGAATGCAGTAATTTTATGGTTTATTAACGGTGAAATCGAAAGTCGTCAGTATGATACGCAGCACGGACAAACGGAATCATGTTTCCGAAAATTCAGTAATGTTACATCGGTGGCGGTTAAGGAATTTAGCACACAAAAATTGATGGCCGTTTGTTGGCATTCACATGACTCGAATATGGTTAACGGATTTGTAAGCATTTATCGGTAAGAATATTGCACAAAATATTTATTATTCAGTAAAAATCGATGCCAAATAAGTACTGGTACTACTAACAGATACTGTTTCTCAGGGAGGAATTTATGTGAGGAGGAGCGATCTGCTTCTCAAAGCACTTCTCTTCACATATTGATTGCTCTGAGAAACAGTCTCTGGTTTTAGAAGAATAACAATTCTAATCTATTTTTATTTTTTTGATGATTTGTTGACTATTTAGCATCGAAAACAATCACCTAGAACACTATGCAGATGTTGAATATCCGGATTCTGTAATTTTACAATGTGGGCTGACCAAATTTTCGGACGTTCAAACAATTCTAGTGGTAGCTGTTCGAACATCAACCGGTGAAATGTTACAAATTTATCAAGATAAAGGTGTGAGCGGATTTCAGGAGTTGAAGGAACACATTATTCACATAAAAGTTCCGGTTCCACATTATTTCCGCAGTAATATAGTGCCCGAAAAACGTTTTTCATTGATTGAATCGCAAAATGGCATTTTGAAATATATTTCCATTTACACCGAATCTAGTGTAGGCTTTTTTGAATGTGTCTATATGTAATCAATAGTTTTTTCGTTTTTGAACAAATTTTTTGCATTGTTTTTTAGCAAATTTTTTTGTGGAACACTTTTTTTCCATTTTTTATACAGATTTTTTTTCTTAGTAAATTTTTTTTAGGATTATATCAAAATTTATGAATGAACACACAAAAAACGCTTAGAAATAATTAATCCATGAATAAAATGTGATAAAAATCAATGGTAAATATTAAAAATGGTTAAATAATTTTTTCATTTCTGCGATTGATTGGAGTGAGATTTAAAAAAAAATTGAGGTGCTTGGCATAAGGTATATATCTGTTATTCACTATCTCTCTGCAGACATCTGTATTATTTCCTTATTATCCCAACTCATGCTATAGCACGAACTAAAATCAAACGAAACTACATAAAAAAAACTCACCAAGAAATAATGTACGCAAACGCTATATTATATACATGGTTTGACCAATGGCCATAGGTCTATCTGAACCGCCTAGAATAAATCAGCATTACTAGATAAATGTCTTCAAATGCGTTATAGAAAAAAGTACGTCAGCAATAGTGTCAAAAACTGTATGTGACGCGTTATATAAAAAAGTTCGCCAACAAAAGCGTGACATCGTCCATATATTTTATAACGCTTTTGCTGACTGACTTTTTTCAGTAACGCATTTGAAGACATTTATCTAGTAATGCTGATTTATTTTAAGGGATTCATCTGTCGACTACACGCAAAAATATCGAAAATTTTGAAACCATTGTTGAGTCATTCACCTCGATAGGGTTGTTGAAACGATTTTTAACAAATGGCCTATTAGTGTGCTTTTTCTTTCTTTTGGTACGGTGAAATGGCCCAAATCGTATTTAGACTATGACCATAAAGTAAAAGTGAACTTTTTTAGCTTCTCTCTTTGAACCGAGAGCATGAACTGAAGAAAAAATTGGAAAATTTATGCCACACTAAATTTGTCGAGATTCGATTCCATCGAACATACTTTTCTGCATGAATTTTTTTTGGGGCCATCTCGCATGCATGATGTCGCTTTGTTCATGTATCTCAGTTTATCGTTTATTTATTATGATTTTATTGCTTTTCTTTCAACGACATCGTACCAGTTAACATGTTCATAAAACAGCTAATTTACCGATCATTCTCTCTTTTGGCTTCACTCTCATTTTGTTTTCTACATTTATAAGTAAAGCGCAACAAAGAGAGCGAAAGAGATACGTCCGAAAATGAAACACTGTCGACGTGAAAATGAAAGAGAAACAAATCTCTTTGGTGAAGAGAAAAAAAAGAGTTTATAATCGAAAGTGAAAAGTATGTCAAGTTATATTCAGTATGAGCATAAGCTCAGCAACATATATGATCAATTAAATGGCGGTTTTTCATGTTTTTGAGGCACACACACACACAAACACACTCGCAAATGAGTGGGAAAAATGCTTTTTCAAAGAGCAATATTTCCGGCAAAGGCATGGAAAAATTAAGCAAATTTTGTCAAAGTAAATTCGTTTAGGTGAAATGATTGTCTTAGTGAATCTTTTATTCTGGAGGCGAATACATATCGATTTTGCTTATTTGCTCATATATGTATGTCCGTCGTGTACGCTCTTGATATCTCGTCACATTGTCGTTTTGATTTTTTTTGTGTGGTCTTTCATTTGTTGACTGACTGTGAACGAGACCGAGAGCACAATGAAAAGAAACACCAAATGCATACGAGTATGAAATGCCGCATTTCACTTTTACTTCACAAAAGTCAATAATTAAATTAATCGTGCGCCGCGTACAATTTGTTTTCACTTCTGTGTATTTCTCATTTGGTGCGCTGAGCGCTCGTTCAATGAGTACATTGACCGAGAAAGTGAGATTTGCAATGTTGTTGTTGTTGTTCTCTCTCTCTTTCCTTTTTGCGCCATTTCCCCCACGGCGTCGTTCGCTGCTGCTGTTGCGGCTACTACATAATAAAACGCACTGATACATTTTATTTACTTTTTAAATGAACAACAACAGCAATAATAACAGCATGAAAATTTAACAAAATGCTCCAAATAATCGATCAATCATTTAATGCTAATTTTCATTCCAAAATTTATTAATTACATTTATGCTGGAAAGGAATGTTTTTTTGTTTGTTCGTTTTGGCTTGAGCTACTTTTGGAATCGTCTATATTTAGAAATTTCTTTTAAAATTTCGAAAGTTTAAATTGTAACGAGATCCTGTGGTTACCAAAATAAAATTGTTTCAAATATTTGCATGGAACATTTTCTTGAACATTTTACCAAATGCTTAAGAATCTTTTTTACTTCAATGGTGTGCGTATTAAGTGTCCGTTTTGTATACGATGTATTTCAGCTGGCGACAAATGTATGGCGCATCCAAACACCATCTGAACCGAATGAATCGTACACATGAATCGAGTGTGCTATGCTTTGTGCTGTATCACTGAAATCTCTTCTCACCAATAGCCATGCATTGTTGGCCCAACAGCCTCACTAACTCTTTAATGTATACATTGAATACGTATATAAATACATATAACTATAAAAAGTTGTAGTGATGCGACAGTGTATTGACCCACTTGCTGCATTTTATGAGCATATAGCGATATTGTGTGTGTGTGTGTGTTGTACGTTGCTGAGAGAGGTTGTTGATCCAATATGTTTAGTGGTATGTAGTTTGTATGCTTGATTCATGTATTTGCGTTCGCTCTTTTTTTTGCTGTTGTCTCATTCTCTTGATATTCGTTTAAAATATTTTCTATTGTCTCTTTGATTTTCATGCCTTTTTTCCTCTTGTCAAAATGATTTTTTTGCGCATATTTGGCTCTTGATTTAGACATATATTGCAATTTTACTGCTACAAAATTTATGATCAACGTACAATAATCTGATTGCAACTGGAAATTTCTACAGTGTGCTGTTATTTTTGACTTTGTACGTGGGATTTAAGCACTGGCAAATAAAAATATATGAATAGTTTGAAATATCTAATTTAGCAATGCAATTACAACAAATCTGAACGTTTTTCGATTTACCAGTTAAGCTTAAGCTCTTGAAACTATTCCAAATGAAATTTTGTTTAAAAAATCGTTTTTAAAATTCATCAAATCGATTAAATTGCCGCAGCTAAATGCAGCTTTCAGATTTGCTTAAATCGACGCTCAAATGCTAAACCGTTAATCCAAAGTGAAAATGTATATGGCCTGATTTCAGAGTGTGTGTGTGTGTGTCTGAATCTTGTGAACTGAATCGAATTCGTAAAAGAAATCGAGAGTTTCAGATTCACTTTTTTTTCTTCTTCTCCACATTCAAACTGTCTTCTGTTATCATGCGCGCAGCGTCATGCATATGTATATTACTGTTGAATTTCTTTCTCTTTTTTTTCTTATTTTCATTAGTTCGAATCGGTAACGAGCGCATGGACCTCAATCAAATCTCTTGGTTTTCTTGCATTTTGTACACTCTTTGTATTTAATTTTCAGGTATTTTCTTTTCTTTTTTTGTAAACTGTTCATTGAAGTTGTTTCATACTCAATGTGATTTGATTATGTTTCATCTTGGCATGGTTCTGGCATGAAAGCGTTAAGCACTAATTTTTCAGTCGCTGAGCAATATGTGCCGTTTTCTCTGCCTCTCTTTTGCTCCTCACACATTTGACAGTTAAAATCACATACGAAGTATTGAAAAATTGCAAAGAAAGAGAGAAGAAAAAAGAAATATATGTATATGATCGAGTTTGTATTCGTTCCATCGAAATTTTGACAGCGAAGAAAAATTAATGTTGAAAGCTTGAAAAATCACAATCGGAATCCTCTGGTTGAAAAAGAAAACTGTTTCATTTTTCATGTTTGCTCTGCCACATCGAAAAGCGTTTAAATCACAACAAAAACGACTATATATCACATCAATCTTACTCTCATCGAAAGAGAAAAAAAAACAACAACAACAAAATACTGTACGCAAGCACAGATCACTCAGCTGAACATGCTTTGCTACAAGAAAGTACATTTACCTAATTTTATGGCACAGTTTTCGCTTTTCTTTCATTTTTATACAATTGAATCTATTTCACAGTCTCGGTGCCGCTGCGTATTTAAACACTGCTTACAGCAAAGCCTCTGAATTATATCAATTTAGAAGAAGCAGAAAGGAGAAAAACCAACCGGTTGAGCTCAATTTGAAATGAATCGCAACGAAATTGTGATCATCTATCACAAATAAACAAAAAAAACACATACACACACACAACAACGGCCGAGAGAGTGTGAGCGATCAATTAAAAACATTTATTTGTTTGCATTGATTGCATGTTGAACCATTCATATTGTCAGCTGCAATCCGGGTACCGAGTCAAAAAGTGATTTGATTGTTTTCGTCGACTCTTTCACATATTCAATTTTCAAAACAGATTTAGTTCGCTGATAATGCCGAACAGGACAATGTGTGGATGTATGTCCGTATGTGTGCGCGTGAAATGGCGGAGACAGATGGCTGAAATTGCAATTCGAAAATGCAAATTCCAATGAGTGACGTGTTTTTTTTTATTCGTCTTTACATATCCAATGGGGCTTGGGCGCGCCTATTTGAATTTGAATTATGCCAAATAACTGTTTGTGTGAAAATGTGCAATATACATTCACAATGGGTCTCGGTCAGTTCAGTTCACCACACAGTGCGCGCACACACACAATTTTCCCTACGCTTTGTTGGCGCAATGATTGTTGCTCTCATTGTTAAATGTGCGTAACGGTATGACCTGTTTTCATTTAGCCATATTTTTTCTACTTCTTCTTCTTCTTTGTTCATTTAACTCACTTTTTACTTTTTTCGATGGCATTTCTTTTCCATTTCATTCACTAACGATTTTACGGCCTGACTTTTTTTTTGCTATTGTTGCTTCTTTTGTCTCACGATGTTCTCGATAATCTTTTTTTCTCTCTCTCTCTCGTTCTCTCTTTGTGGCCATTGAGCGATCTCTTCGCCCGAACAGTTGGTCAGTGTGTGATGTATAGTGTGCAAAATGCATCGTTTCGATCGCCGTTGTTTCTGTTCATAGCCAGACGGTGTCAGTACTGCAGGCATAGATAAATTTATAT